CCCCAAAACCCCAAAACCCCAAAACCCCAAAACCCCGATTTTCAATCAAAATATTGAAATACGTTTTATCAAAACCTTTGAAATGGATAAGAAAAGTGAAGAAGATGATAAATTATTGGAGTCATTCAATGTTAGTGTAGAAATGAAGAAGGAAGAGAAGGTTAACATGCAAGTACATCCTACAATCTGGATATCCCTATCCCTCCTGGTCGCTGTAATCTATGCTATCTCAAACATATCCATCTCCATAGTCGCTAAATTCAGGATCAAGGCCATCGCCTTACAAGCTTACGGCAGAGTTATAGGTAACATAATACCGATCATTGTGGTTTGTTGGCAGGAGAAGAATAAGAAGAGATCGGAGAGGAAGATTGGAGATGAAGGGGTGTACTTTGGATGGTTTAAGAATATTTATTATAAGAGAATGAGGGATGGAAATGGGGATCTTGTGGAGAATCAGTGGACTAATGAGTTGCATTGGGATCGAATTAGAGGGTCTATTCTGATTGGGGTGCTTTCTACAGTTTCTTATGCAGCCTTTCTGTTGGCTTATGACTGGGCGAATACAGCAGGTTTGAATAATGGGGTTATGATGTCTTTGTACTCGATGAAGCCGATCTTTACATCTGTTCTTTTTTATGTTTTCTTTAGGCAAACTTTGAAATGGTTTGAGATTGTTGCTATTGGTTTATGCGTATCTTGTGCAGCACTGATCGGACTTAGCTCTGAACAACCTGATCTAGATGCTGAGAAAGAGGATTCCCAGAAGTTTATAATTTTAGCATGCAGCTTTCTTCTCCTAGCATTGCTCCTAACTTGCCTTCGTACTACTGTTGTGAAGTACTATTTTGGAGATGCTCCTGAGATAAATATATCAGCAGTTTTTAACGTAAATATCCTGTATATTGATATTGCGTTTCTGGTATATTTCTACGTTCTGACTTATCAAGGATTTGAGTACACTTGGTTCGAATTTGCTTGAGGATGGTTTGGAGGAATGTCGTTTAGCTTTGCTCAGTATATCATAGCATATGTGAATATCCGGGGCAATGCAGGCACATCTGACGCATTGATCGAAACTTGTACATTTTATCAAACACTATTAGACATGCTATTCTTTGAGAGATATCCAAACCTGATGCAGTACTCTGGTCTTGTCATCGGATTTGGAGCTACTTTGTTCCTAATAATTGCCCATAAAATTTTTGGATAAAGATAAAAATAAATCGAAGTTTCAATTCAATTTAAAATTTTGTATTAGGGGTTTTGGGGTTTTGGGGTTTTGGGG